CACCTCAAACATTTGGTTTATACGACTCCAGTGCAAACCATAGACGAATTAAGAAACCGCATTGTCGCAGCCTGTGAAACAATTAGACACACAGCCGGAATATTTGAACGGGTTCGCCAATGTGTCGTAGGATAGATGTAGTAGAGTTGAAGGTGCATATTTTCAACAACTGTTGTAACGCCTGCGTATGTAAAGTATTTTTTATATCATTGCTGTTTGTTAAATTTTTTTTCTTATGTTTCTGTTAATATTAATTATTTAAAAAAAATATTATTTAGTGAGTTATTGTTTCTCAGCTTGATACATTGTTTTTCCTTCAAATAATACATTTGAAGGAAACATTAAAGTTGATTAGTAAATTGAATTTCTATTTTTGTTTTCTACTTCCCGTAAGAATGAGCATATGAAATGATATTAATTTTTTGTTCGAAAACGAAGAGACAAAAAAATTGTATTTTTAATCGCATAATAAGAAAAAAATATAACACCTAAGAAAATGCAGTGACTTCTCATTAATTAATTAATATCAACAGGAGTGAGTATCCGGACGACGCTGGAATAGATAAAATAAATCAAATTACGTCTGAAGACGTCTACCGTTTTTATAAACAAACATACCAAATTTCAAAAAAATCGGAATTAGGGTTTTCCAAATATTAATAAAAACCCCGTATCTCCGAAACGAAGCATTTTCGGACATTGGTTTATAGGAACTTTATTTTTTATTTTTGGTCAAGGAAACTCCCCCTGAATTTTTTCGCAATATTAATGACACACCCTGTACTGTTGTTAACTGGAATGTCAAATGATTAGTCTTATGCTGGTAACTTTCTCGTGATCGATGGTTCGTAAAAGTAGTTCTAATTTGGATATTATTAATAAACGGTACACTACATAATTTCAGTGTATAAAGTAGTTCATAATTACAGTCACCGTGAATTACAGTAATCCTATTAGCACACGGGGAATGTCGCCAAAATGTTGCCGTAGCATCGCAATTGTACGCCTTAGGTTTTATTACGTGATCCCATTCAGCAGCTCTACGGGGAGAACACTCGCTTTTAACAGCAAGCACATAGTCGGAAATTCCTCAAGCGATAGCTTGCGTATTCACGCAAAATTCCTTTTATTCAAAAGGATTTTTTTTTTTTGTACACTGATACTAGTTTTTATACAAACATAAAAGCCTAAATATGAGTTAGTGGACTCTTCCAATTCCATTGCTAAGTCATCCCTTGTCAGGACAACGACAAAACTGTTAGGTGCGAATTCCCGAAAGGTTTTTGTCTGACCTTGGGACAATTTATTTATAACGCTGTTTTGCACATCCTACTTTGTTAGTTGTAAAGAGCAACTTAATTTCAACTTTATGAAATTTTTTTTTTTGATATTATCGTTCTACATACCCTTCAGTGTCAAAAAGTGCGATAAAATGTGTAGGTACTAATAAATTTTTTAAGTTTTCAAGGTTTCTGAACTAATTCGATTGGACTATGGAGCCTATTTAAAGCAGATATTTCCAAATTTTTGGCGACTTTTTGCTGCCAAATTATAGAACTTAGTAGAAACTAATACACATGTCTTCAACATATACAAATAACTTAATCGTTTTTCTTTTGTTAGATTTTGGGCACTCTCATATCTCGATAAAGTTGTAAATATTTATAATAATTAAAAATAAATTGTCGCTGTTATTTGTGCTGTTTAATACTGATTGTGAGTTATTATCATATATAAATGTTTTGGAATTCATAATTACAATTACTTGCAGAATGTGACATTATTTTTGTAAATGTTATCAATATCAAAAAAATAAGTAATCAACAGATATTATTAAATACCGATATTATTAATGTACCTACACGATGATATATTTATCAAAGAAAATGCATTTTCTGATACATAAGGTGGTCCTAAATTGTCTCTTGACATTATAGCAAAGAATGAGGATATATTTTTAAGTAGGTATTTTTTTGGTAAATAAATAGTATCTCCTTTTTTAAAGGGACGACTTATGGCATCAGGGCAATGATAGCAATAAAATAATTAAAGTACTTGTTTTATGGAAATAGTGTGGAATATGGATTTAAAAAACATGCCTACGTATGTTGACCAGACTTTTTCTAAATCGTTGGGTTTGTTAAAATTAAATAAGACTACTTTTGTCCTGAATGGTATATAATCGATGGAAATAACTGGTTGATTTGTCAGGATTGCCCAAGGTCTCAATATTAAAAAAATGTATGCACAAAATTCCAACCGAACAAAAGACGTATCCACACTAACATTCCATTTTGAAAAGTACCTACCTACAAACATAATTGGTACTCACTTGACTGCTTCCGGAGACAGAATGAGCTTATAGNATAAAAAAAAATTAATTGAATCATGTAATGTATTACGTAAGGTGGGGGAGGGGGAGGGGGGTTATGAAAAATCTTACGGTTTCTTTACATGGGGGGAGGGGGGAGTTGAAAATGTGAAAAAATACCCTTACGTAATTTATGGATGACCCCTAAGACAGATACCGCCTGGACTATAAAATCATGTAATTTCTTGCGATGATAGCTGCAAAATTTTTAGCAAAACTTCAAAACAAACAACTAAACTGTCAATTTGTTGTTAGTCTCTTGCAGTGACAGTTTAATTTAGTATTTATAAGAAATGGAAAACAATTCAAATGCTGATATTTTAAATTTATTATTAATTCACGGACATTGCAATGGGATTATAAGCGGAACATGTACAGTTTTTAATGAGACATATCCAAATTTGCCACCAATGAGCAGAAAAAAGTTAAGAATAATTTTAGCAAATCAACTAGAGTATGGTCGAATATGTAATGTAATATATGTAATAGCACTTTATTTACCACTTTGCTATTTATATACACTGTCTCACTTAAAACCTACTAAACATCAAACATTTGTTTTACACACTACGTGCAGAAAGAATTTTACCAAAACCAATAACTTCAAATGAAGATATTGTAATAAATGTGCTAGCCTATTTTAATGTTCATCCAGAATCCTCAACTCGTGCCGCAGAGTATGATTTAGGCATTTCACGAGCTTCCATTCACAGAATGCTAAGAACTAATGATATGCATCCATACAAATTTAAACTACTTTCTGCTCTTCATCCGGGCGACGCCGTGCAACGTGTACAATTTTATGAAAAGTTGTTAAAGAAGATTCACAATTTTTGCAACCTGTTATATGGACAGAAGAGTCAAAATTTACGAGAGAAGGTATTTTTAATAGACATAATACTCATTTGTGGTCATCTGAAAATCCTCATGTTATCCGGCAAATAAACTTTCAAAATAAATTTAGCGTAAATGTTTTTTTGTCTAATTAGAGATAACCAAATTTCTTACCATATCTACGAAGAAAATTTAAATGCCGACAGAAATCTCAATATTTTGCAAACGGTTGTGGCAGATTTTCTAGATGATACCTTTAGACCAAAGAAGTGTTGGTATCAATTAGACGGGGCTCCACCTCACTCTCACAATCAGTCGATCAACAACTGACTAAAATGTTTGAAGATTAGATGTTTATGTTTGAGGAGTAATAAAGCAAAAAATTTATTCTACACCCGTTGCTTCAAAAGAGAAATCCTCTTTTTGATTGCTCCAATATGAAGAGCGTTCCATGAATTGCCTACAGCTGAAATAGCAAAAGCGGTAACTGATGGTATTATCTCTAGAATCGTCAGTTTTTAAGAAAAACTTTAACACCCCGTTTCTCGGAAAACGAATCATTTGCGGACATACGTTTATAAGCAAACTGCCATTATTTTCTCATGTAGAATCACCCCCTGAAATTTGTCGCACTTGTTTACTAACACCCTGTACAATTAAAATTATGTATTACTATGTATGAAGTTGATTTTTTAGAATTCTTTTTAACTTTATTCTGCTCATTGGTGGAAAATTGGGATATGTCTCATTAAAAACTGTAAGTGTTCTGCTTAGAATCCCATTGCAACGTCTGTGAATAAATAATAATAAATAACTGGTGACGATTTAGTTGTTTGTTGTGAAGTTTTGCTAAAAATTCCACAGCTTGCTATCCTCGCAAGAAATTACATCATTTTAGGTGATTACACAATAAATAGTAGATAACTAGAAGGAAACCCTGATACCGTTCGAAAGAGAATAAAATTGTGTATCAGAATATAGAAAAACATACAGGGTACCCAATATGCAATTAAGCCACTTTGAAAGTATGAATGGGAAACTTAGCTATCCCCCCTATAAATATTGTTGCTTTATCTTTCTTACTATAAAATATACACGGTTTGAAGCTAGTCACTGTTTCTCTCCATTTTTTTTTAATTAATTATCTCGAAAATGGTTAATTTTAGGAATAGGGAAACTTCATAAAAGCCCACCTAAAATAACATGTAGAATTCAAAATTGCAATAATATACAGGGTGCTAAAAAAAGAGTGCAAAATATTTCAGGAGGCATGAACCAAAATAAGCAGAAAAGTCATAATAAACATGGGTCCGCAAAGTAATGGTTGCGGAGATATGGACCACTATTCGTTTTTCAAATATTTTATTTTATAAGGAATAAACTGACAAAGGAAGCTTTTAACAAACAAAAAACAAAGTTACAGAAGATGTTCAAAGTGCCCTCCGTCCATTTCCAAGCAGGCACCACATCTTCATCTCAACAATATTCGAACTCTTTCGAAAACACCCTCCTTGGTTTGGATTTCTTGACACTTTTGATTAATCCGTANTTAAAAAGCATACCTACGTATGTTGACCAGACTTTTTCTAAATCGTTGGGTTTGTTAAAATTAAATAAGACTACTTTTGTCCTGAATGGTATATAATCGATGGAAATAACTGGTTGATTTGTCAGGATTGCCCAAGGTCTCAATATTAAAAAAATGTATGCACAAAATTCCAACCGAACAAAAGACGTATCCACACTAACATTCCATTTTGAAAAGTACCTACCTACAAACATAATTGGTACTCACTTGACTGCTTCTGGAGACAGAATGAGCTTATAGTGGCCGAGCAATGATATCACAGCACAGTCCAACAAATAAGACGATGGATTTCAAGAATAATATTTCTTTATATCTGTCTGCAAGCGTTTAACAACTCAGTCACCATGAATTGGCAGGATCTGCATGTTATTAAACCGTACTTATATTTACGTGACTTTGTAAGATTCGATTAATGTAATCGGTCACGCGAGGAAATGTGAAAGCATGGTTTAATAAATTGTTGTGAGGATTTATATTTTGCGAATGTTCACACGATTAATTATTTTCGGTACAGGGTGTTAAAAGTTAAAGAACGTTGTTTTCAAATTTTTAGACGTGTCAGAATTATATTTTTGATTCATACACAGGATGTGCCAATATTCCGTACACATGAAACTATTTTAGATGAAATAACTGCGGAGTGCTATTAAATTAGAGGGTGGAAATAGGAGATAGGGCTGAAAATGCACCCCTTTCAGTTTTTTAATTGTAGCTCGAAAACGAAGCAAAATTTCGCTATAGTTCATAGGGAAAATTATTTAGAGAATTGAATTTCCCATCGAAATGGCTTATTTAAAAAATTTAAAAGGAAAATTTTATTCAAAAAATCGTTAATAAATAATTTGAAGAAAAAAACAAGAAATTCGATTTTCTGACTTTTTTTTGCCTTTAATTTTTTTTGAGTAAAGTTAGGTATAGGCATTGCTTCATAAAAAAAAGTAGATAAAATTTCCTTCAAAACAAGAGGTTGTAAAGTATTTTTGGATGAAAACTGACTGATATGTGGCAGCTCAAACTTAGCCAAATTTTCGATTTTCGTTGCGTTTACCCTTATACGTTTTTATTCTCATTTTTTGCAAAAAAGGAAGGAAATAAGACGTTCAAAGATTTTCATCACACGACTTGTTCGAAGGGTCATTAAAAATGAAAAAACCGCGAGGTGCTATTATGTAAATTAGAGAAAAAAATTGAGAGAAACAGTGACTAGCTTCAAACCATGTATATTTTATAGTAAAAAAGTTAATGTAACAATATTTATAGGGGGGATAGCTCAACCTCTAAGCTTCCCATCCTTACTTTCAATGCCGAGTTTAGTGAACTTCAAACCTTCATAAGTCGGTTTTTTAAATGGAACACCATGTATGTTTTTCTATATTCTGATACACAATTTTATTCTCTTTCGAACGGTATCAGGGTTCCCTATACCTATCTCTTCTAGTTTTTAAGTTATCTACTATTTTTTGTGTAATCACCTAAAATGATGTAATTTCTTGCGAGGATAGCTGCAGAATTTTTTGCAAAATTTCAAAACAAACAACTAAGCTGTCAATTTGTTGTTAGTCTCTTGCAGTGACAGTTTAATTTAGTATCTATAAGAAATGGAAAACAATACATATGTAAATGCTGATATTTTAAATTTATTATTCATTCACGGACGTTGCAATGGGATTATAAGCGGAACATGTACAGTTTTTAATGAGACATATCCAAATTTGCCAACAATGAGCAGAAAAAAGTTGATGATTTAGTTGTTTGTTTTGAAGTTTTGCTAAAAATTCCACAGCTTGCTATCCTCGCAAGAAATTACATCAATTTAGGTGATTACACAAAAAATAGTAGATAACTAGAAGGGAACCCTGATACCGTTCGAAAGAGAATAAAATTGTGTATCAGAATATAGAAAAACATACAGGGTGTTCCATTTAGAAAAACCGACTTATGAAGGTTTGAAGTTAACTAAACTCGGCATTAAATTTCTAGCACCCAGTATGCAATTAAGCCACTTTGAAAGTAAGAATGGAAAACTTAGCTATCCTCCCTATAAATATTGTTGCTTTATCTTTCTTACTATAAAATACACATTGTTTGAAGCTAGTCACTGTTTCTCTCCATTTTTTTTAATTAAATATCTCGAAAATGGTTAATTTTAGGAATAGGGAAACTTCATAAAAGTACACCTAAAATAACACGTAGAATCCAAAATTGCAATAATATATAGGGCATACCATTTAAAATAAGCAAGTTGAAGGCGACTTCCATTATAACCGGAAGTAATACGAGGACGCCATTATTTTAGTTGAGAAGGGCATGCCCGAAAACCCGGTACCTATCCCAAATTTTCAAAATTCAAATCGAAGTAGTCTCTGAAATAATTCTAATGGTCTGTCACCGTGAGACACCCTGTATATAACTACACAGTTCTGCAAAGAGTAATAGCAGTAGTAATAGTCGTAATAGTTTATTACTGTATCTTTACACAACACTAGTAGTAGTAGTTCATATGTGGACTGTGATAAATTGAATTTTGAAGTCCTCAATTTTTTTATGATTAATAATAATAACCTAAAATATTTAAAGGATCATTAAATGTACAAAAATTAAGAACACAATACGTGTTATATTTCTTTTTATACACAAAACTATATTAATTACAACAAACTACAAGCTATCAAAAAAAGAATTACGGTAAAGAGCATTAATATATTTGCTACGTCTTCTACATTTTCTCGATGTTCAGCCAAATATCCCCCAGTGCCGCCGTCACTTGTGACTCTGGATCCAATTTTAAGGGCAGTCTGGTCTTCTCGTTCAAGGAAACCTTGAAATCCTTCAGGATAGAGATCAGTCCAATCTTTGTTTGCAACACTCCAAATCGTTCACCTAAAATCATATACATACAATGTGAGCAGCAGTCTGAGTACTTTTTAACCACATCCGGAGTTCCCCAGGAATCAAATATTAAGCCACTGTTATTTTTGTTTCATAAATACATACAGGGTAGCCCATCGAAAACGTACCGCAAGGCAATAAAGGTAGTAAAGAACTTTTCGGCAAAATCCAAAAACAGGTCAAATTTGTTTCTGAGGGGGACAGCTTTTGGCTCAAAAACATACCAAAATCTTCAACCCCCTAAGTGGGGGTGCTATCCCCTATATTTTTTCAAATGGGAATGGGGGTCAAGTGGGGGGTCATTAGAAAGGGCTTTTAATTCTCTATACATCGATTCTTACTTTTTGAAAATCGATCCATTATTTTAGAAAATATGCAGCTTTGAAAATACGACCAATATTTTTGACGAGAAATGCGAAAATCGACTTAATTTTACTTCAAAACTTACGGTATTAGCTTGGTAAATTCCTTCAAAAGAATTCGCTGTTTTTTTTTCTGATTTGCGAATTCTTTAGCCTGATTTTGGTGAGCAAAAAATTGTCCGCTTTTTGTTTCGTATTTAGATAGGCCACAAAAAGTTGCTAGATAACTGTCATGTGACTTGTAGTTGAAGAGTACCAATACTGCCGAGTCTTTTAAATTGATTAATTATGGTGTACTCAATTCCAGAAAGAGTAGAAATTATTGAGCTTTTTTTCAAAAACAATGAATGCGGAAATCGGGTCGCCGAATTGTTCAACCAACGGCATCCTGAGAAACACGCGTCTGGAAAAATTGTTCGCGAATTGGTGGCCAAATTTCGCGAAACTGGCTCCGTTCATAACAAAAAGAGGCAGGTTGAAAATCCGGTACTAAATAACCTACGGAAATAGCGGTATTGGGGCAAGTGGCAATGGATAGTACGCTGAGTACAATGCAATTGGCTACTGCGACAGGAGTGAGTCGTACAAGTGTCCAACTAATATTAAAAAAATACAAATTCCATCCTTATAAGATTCGGCTAGTGCAAGAGCTAAATGAAGACGATTTTGATCGTCGTTTGCAATTTTGCGAAATAATGACTGAACGAGCGATAAACGATAATTTCCTCTTTAATGTGTGTTTTTCGGACGAGTGTACGTTCTTCTTTAATGGTTTAGTGAATCGCCATAATTGTCGTTACTGGGCTGATACCAATCCAAGGATTTTCCATGAGACACACTCCCAACACCCCCAGAAGTTGAATGTATGGGCAGGTATTTTTGGAAATTCCATTGTAGGTCCTTTTTTCCTTCCTGGAAATTTGACAGGCGATATGTACTTGGATTTACTACAAAATGTCATCGACCCAGCTCTAACAAATATCATAGAGGTATATAGAATATCAACCCTTCAATGATGGTCGAGGCATGCAGACAAAGTTTTGTTACAATTGGCTGCACTTACCGATGCATATCCTGGGTCCCTCCCCGAAAGGTATATGGGCGTACGGATGCCTGGACTGCTTATTTTCTGGAGTAAACCGATCTGGATCGAACTTCGTGGGGTTTTCGTAGTAGTCTTCGTCGTAGTGGATACCAGCCACAGGTATGAAGATCGGTGTACCCTTCTCTACGACGAAATATTCACCTGGTACTTTATAGTCTTCGACGCATCTTCTCGTCAATATTGGAAGGGGCGGATACATTCGCAGAGTTTCTAAAACGGTAACAACATATTTAGCTAACTTTTGTTAACTAATAAGACTCCTAAAGTGACTTCTAGAGGCTCTAGAATCCTCTAAGGATTGAATGTGAAACGCAATTTGATTAGTTTCTTAAGAACTGTAGAAGATGCAGCCTTAGTAATCTAGATACATGCAAGACCTGTTAGGTTTCTTGGATCTTTTCGTCCCATAGTTAAATATCTAACCTCAAAGTTAAATGTCTAACCATATGGACAGGTTAGCTTTTAACTATGATTTGCTGCTGACAAGCATGAACCCGTAAAATGTCGTGGATACTTTGACTAAATGATGAATTATTTGGAACGGCCTGTACCAGACAAGCCTCCTTACCGTCAATTACTTGCTTCATGTAAACCAGTTCGTTCGCAGAGTCGTAAGTGATTTTGTTGTCGTGCTTCGCAAGGACCGTACAGATCTCCTTCCTTACTCTGTCTTGGATTTCGGGGTGTCTCGCCAATTCAAACAACGCGAACGTCATGGTGGTGGAACTGGTCTCGAAGCCTGCTATGAAGAACACAAAGCTCTGCGCCACTATTTCCAGCGTAGTCAAGGTGTTACCATCACCTAGAATTGAACGAGTGTGAAACATGTATTCATCGGTCTAATCTGACATTTGAACAGATAAATTATGAATCTCTTTTTATTGGACCAATGAAGTTGAGACTAGGGATAGTTCGGCAGTAGTACAGAATATACATGGTGTCTGGTAAGTATATGGCATACTCTCGGGAGTGTATGGGGGAGGTCAAAATAACCATACTTTGTCATAATAAAAATCCTAAAGTGCCCCTTAACGGAGATACAGAGCCTCAAAGGGATACCCATCGATTTACCTTTTGGGCTCTAACTTTTGAACCGAATTGTATAATTTTATGAAATTTTAATATTTTATATAGGTCATAAAGGCTCATAAAACCATTACACAGTAGAAGTTTTAAGGAAGTCAGGAGCGGACTTGCCCCAATGCTCGTTGGGCCAAAATTTTGACAGGTGTCATTTTATAGAACAGAAAACTGAATTTTTAAATATTTTCCTCTTTAGAAAAGGTACTTCACATTTGCTTAGGATTGTTCTTGCATAGGATTGGTCCTATTAGTTGGCCTCCCAGATCTCCAGACCTAACAGAACTAGATTACTGTTAACGGCGCTTGTTGAAAAATGAAGTGTACAAAATTAGAGTGAACACTCGGGAGGCACTAATTCGACGTATCATTAATACTGTAAAAAAGACATGCAGCAATCAGGAGAGCTGCAGACGCCTTTCGTAGACGAAGCAGAAAGTGTTTAGAGGAAAAGTCACCTTCTTAGAAGGGTATAAAATTAATGAATGTATTACCAAAAAACATAAAAACTGAAAGTAATCTAAATTCTCTTAAATCTAAACTTAAGAACTATCTTGTGAGTAAATGTTTTTACTAAGTAGCCGACATATTTACTTAGTAACAATGTAATAGATTTTCTGTGCCATTGAAATGGCTACAGTAGGAAGCGACCTGCTAACTGCAGGTACTTTGTTGCACGACTTCCACCCACAGAGGGCGTAATAAGATGGAGCCATTGGCTCCCGCGTACAATGTGTTTCCTCTTCGTGATGATACGACGAAGAACAGCTGGGTCGTTTGTCGGTTGTCGCACCTATGACACACTGATGAGGACTAATAAGTCCGAAACCGGTCTGTGCCTGGTGGGTAAACTGACAAACGACCCTAGCTGTTGCACTAGGTGTTGCGAGTATAATTCAATGCCGGTAGGGGCAAATAGCTCTCGGAGTAGTTGTTTCTCGCAACACTGACAAGTCAAACATTATTTGTTTGTATTTTTGTTCATTGTTTTTACATTATTGTTTGTAACAAATGTTTTGTGTCATGTCATTTTTGACCTCAATGGATTAAATAAATCATTATTATTAATATTACTATTATTATTAACGGTGGCGTCTTTGAATCAAAGAACGATATGATTAACAGAATATCAATAAATTATTTTTTTATTGAAATATACGTCATAGCTTGAAAACAAATGAAAACCGCATATCACTTGAGTTTTTTCTTATTATTTTGACTTGTACAATCCATCGCGATCCTCCCGGTCTGACCCTGCATAATTCAGCGTATACAAACCTGAGACATCGCCATCTTTATTTTTCATCTCCAAGAGCAACTGCATGAAATCGTTGCGACTGACGTTGTTCTTCTCCCTGTACGAGATGGTGTCCTCTACAACTTTTATGAAGAAATCAGAGACATCCTTCTTCACTATACGTATACCCAGGATTCTGGCTAGATTTGGAAAACTGAACGAAATAAGGATGTTAATCTGATCCAAAGCGGTGGGTCGGAAAACTTTCTTCCCGTACACTCTGAAGGGGGAGTTGGGCTCTTCGAAACTGTTGCAGTCCAGCCCAAACGCGCAAGAACCGATGATGTCGGTGGAAAAACGACCTGGAAAAAAAAATTAGGTATATCATTTTGTTTTCGCAAAACTAAAAACGTGTTAGATTTATTATGCAGGGTGGGCCATTAGTGTGAGAAAGTAAAATAATTCCCTTGTTACTCATAATACAGAAGAAAAGTTTATATAAAAGTTGTATAGAATCAAAAAACCTAAAGGATAAAATTAATTTGAAACACACTGTATATGGCAATATAAACAGTTTTCATTTTAGTGCGGGGTTGCCAAGTTATGTAGAAAATTCTTAGAGTTTTGGAAAAAAACATGACCTCGAAGAAGTTGTGTTAACTTTCAGCTACTAACACATGGAACAAAATAATTATACAGAGTTATAGGCAAATGTTAGACAAATACTCCTATATTAGCTAATATCGATATTTTATACAGGGCATTTTTTATAATACCATAGTTTTTAGAAAGTTTAAACTTGATTTTCTAAAATTTTTCAAATGGAACAGCCTGTATTTTATTGCTCTATTATATTCACATATCGGTCCACTTCAACTTTTATTAAGCATGTTCTATATGTATATAAAATTGTTAGTTTTTAAGATATAGCAACATTTCTAAAAAAAAATTAATTTTTATTATTTTAAAGAATAAATATTAACTAATAAAATTAACTCAAAATGGAATGATAAATTATGAACTGACAAGTTGACACAATGTGACAGTTTTTTCTAAAGCCATTTCTTGTGACCGAAAATAATAAAAATTAGATTTTTCCAGAGAAAAACTTTATTTTGAAATTTTTTATTTTTCCTTGATAAATCAACGATAAAGAAGTTTAAAAGAGTATGGTACTCCATCTGGGGACACACTGTAGATTTGTTACTATGATGTGGAATTGTTTATTTCTGTACATTGTTTTTAGTAATAATAATAATGATAACGGTAATGGTAATGTAGTACAGTCATTGAAGCTTTTCACCTTCGAATTCTTTGAAACTGAACCGATCGACTTGAAATTTGGCAGATAGTTAGAGAAAAGGTCAATGAATATTAGTGACATAGCGCCGATTGACGCTTCCACCCTGTTGGGGGTTGACACCCCTTCCTGGTGGTGGAAGTTATTTTTTCAAAAAACTGTTTAATCATTCCAAGTCTTTAAAAAGTAATTTTTTATAATTATTTTTTGCATAGGGGTAGTTTTTAAGGGTTAAATAAAGGGTCGAAAAAATCAAATTTATCATAAAACATGTTCGAGAATATGAAACATTATTTAATCTTTGTGCTTGAACAAGATTATTATAAATAAAATACTTAAAACTTAACTTTTTCAATTTTTTTCACTTAGGAGTAGTTTTTACCCCTAAAAAAACAAAAACCGTCAATCGGTCAAGCGTAAATTATGTCACTTTTGACCTTGAGCCTAAGATGAGCCTTATTCTAAATTTTCATGCAAATCCATGCAGTTTCAAAGAATTCGGAGGTCAAAAACTAACGCAAAAACTTTTAGTGACTGGAGACCGAGTAGTATACTGTCTTCAGTCTCTAAATTTCTAAAAAAGTTACAAATATACAAATTCTTCTGCATTTGAAATAATATCATATATTGCTAATAGTCCAATCAGCATTTCGACCTATAATTGTGCTACAGCCTTATTAAATGTAACTGATGATACTACTAGGGTTGTCGATGTCGAGCATACCAGTGATTACTCTACTAGACACTAGATTACTAAAAATTACAAATTACTCCTGTCTACCCTGATGCAAAAAATTAAAGGATTTCCTAATTTTTTCCGTGATTTTTGACAGGCTGTATTTAGGTCAAAAATGGTCGTATCAGGAATTAAATAAAAGCATTTTGAAGCTCTAAAATTCTAGTTTTTAAATCTTTCGGTCGAAATTTTGCAATTTTTTTTCTTTGTTTTGAGTCCACGGACTTGGAAAAAATTTTTTCAGCTAAGCCATTGCATGGACCAGATAACTTGTTTATTCAGCTCCAATTTCCCTTTTTTTTAATTTTGATACGACCATTTTTCATCGAAATAAGGGACTTTTAATGGAAAAGGATCCTTTTGTCTTCAATCGTCGATATCTCGGCGACAAATGGTCGTACAGAGAATTGAAGGGCAGTCTCGAAAACTAGAATAAATTTCTTATAACATGCTGCCGCAACTTTTCCAAAATATTTTTTTCATCTTTTACACGAATTTTAAAAAGCAGGAAAAAAGGGTATTTTATGGTTTTTTAGAAAATTGACTGCTAAATTAGAAATATTTACGAAATGACTAATGTTAAGCATGACTTTTACAGTTGGATATACCCAGAAGATCCCTGTGAATTTTCATCGCGATCTAGAGAACCGTTTCTTTGTTTCAAACAGCCAAACGACTTCGCTAGATCGAAATGAAACTTCACAGAGTTCTTCTGGGTATATCGAACTGTAAAAGTCATGCTTAACGTTAGTCATTTCGTGAATCCTTCTAATTTAACCGTCAATTTTCTAAAAAGCCATAAATTACCATTTTCTCCTGTTGTTTAAAATTCGTGTAAAAGTTGAAAAAAAAAATTTTCTTTTTCAAAAAGTTGCGGCAGTGAAACAAAAGCCGGGACGCGTAGTCATTTATTTATTAGTTCTCGGAACGGATGGGCCAACTAAAATATTTCAGTCAACACAAACTATCGAAAGTTGAGGGCTTTCAAGTAGGTAGCGTCGTCCTTAGGAAAAATTTACCAATATTTTTAACAAGTTCACTTAAACTGTCGGGGCCATGTGTTAAGCGTCTAGNATAACGCGTGAAACCACGAGAAGAGCGTAGAGGTTCCAAAGTAGAATTAAATCAAATTGTTAAATTGATAGTAATTGGAAAAGAAAGTAACAGATTAAGCAGCTGTTTTTTTGACGGATTTACCAAGCTATAAGAGTAGATTAAATGAGATCGACTAATCCGTCCCGTATTTGCTACACGGAGTCGCTAAAGGAAGGCTAGGGTTACTTGTAAGTCACATAATTATTTATATAAATGTAAATTCAGTCCATTAGACAATTATTAACATGGCATAGTTATGCCAGAGCATCCCGACATCCAGAGTTCCCGCCAATAAGACAAGAACAGAAACTTCTGGACCCAAGAAATGGGCGGGTCGAATTCAGGAGAGATCTACGAGAAAAAGTCAGTTCTTCCTTAGGTTCCACATTGAGCAGTCGACTTAGTTTTAGAGTCTCGGGCTAATTAATTCAATTTAATAATGGATACAGTTTTTTTTCCAAATTTTGCTATGGATCGCGCATTCCCTGAATCTCGGTACGCTGTCGCGTGTAAATAAATTAATGAATAATGTTGTTCGGGCCGTTGTGTTGTTATTTTGTTTGTTTGCTTTGTTTATTGTTATTAAAACCTTTCCTGGAAGTTTTGGTGTTTCCTTTTGTTTCTCCAATTTCAGTGTCACCCTGTATAGCCAGCCATGGGATTATATGCCACGTAAGCAATGAATGGTAAGTGCATGGAATTCATTCTCTGAACATACAACATTTCTAAGTTCCCACTTATTAATTAAAGTATGATAATTATAAACTCCCTTTCGAGAATTAAATAGTAACTGTTTTGAAATCCAGACTCGTTATGATGCTGGTCATAATAGATAATTAATTAAAGGTAGATAATTAAAGAAATAACCCCTCAGGTTACAGCAGCATGTTATTGGACATTTATTCCAGTTTTCGAAACTGCCCTTCTATTCTCCGTACGACCTTTTGTCGCCGAGATATCGATGACTGGAGACAAAAGGATCCTTTTGTGGTGGTATCGAAATTAAAAAGAAAGCTGAATAAACAAGCTATCTGGTCCATGCAATGGCTTAGCTGAAAAAAAAATTCCAAGTCCGTGGAAGAAAAGCAAAATTTATTTGTCGCGTTATATGTTAGAATTGCATGATAACTCCTAAAAAATTTCGACCGAAAGATGTAAAAACTAGAGTCTTAGAGTTTCAAAATGCATTTTTTAATTCCCAATACGGCCATTTTTCACCTAAATACAGTCTGTCAAAATCACGGAAAGATTTCGGAAATTCTTTTGACCCTTTAATTTTTTACATTAGTTTATTTTACGAATATATATTTTATTGGGTTTTCTCACATTGCGATTGTTTATTAATAGTTTGTTCACACTTCCATATTGAAATGTAAACAAATTTTTATATATCTTTACCCAAAATGTCCTTAATATTCACCACCTCCTTATCGGCGACGCTCTGCTGGATATACTTCTCCAGGATTACGCCACAATCTGCCATGGTTTGGAACATCATCTTCATCTTTCCTGACGTAAAGGTGGGTGACAGTTTAGCCCTCAAATTCCTCCATTTTGAACCCCCAAGAGCAAACAGATGACAACCTGGAAATATTCAGTTAGTCGTGTGAAACCCTATTACAGAAAAATTAAAAATAACAAACATCTATTATAGTCCAATAAAATTGTCGAAAATACCTCATTTTTTGCCAAAAAATATTTCAGTAATTGAAAATATGTAAAAATTAGGAAAAATTCCGTAGAATTCAATGAATTACTTTACTCCACCTGAATTTTTGGGCTTCATTTTCAAAATGGCGTTAAATGTTTGCAAAAAAACAGTTTTTTTTTCATTCATAAAAAAAAACTAAACATTTTAGGAAAAAATGTTTCAAACAAAAGTTGTCACTTTCGAAAGGCAGTATCGACATTTTGATACGAGTTAAAATCAAAAAGTTAATCAGTTTTATGGCCCCGAAAAAAAAAAACGATTTTTCGATCGTTTTTTGCTATATTTGAAACCGATTTGAGGCTCGCGCAATATTTGCCATTATAATAGTGTAATTATTAAAGAAAATTTTAAGCCCAACCCCGTTCCTAAGAATGTGGCGTCCTATGAAGTATGGGAATTTTACAAAAACGCTTTTTTTTCTAAAAACTCGATTTTTGCAAAAACTATAACATATGTTTCAATTTTGAAAAAATCATTTTATTTTACTCATCAAGAGCTATCCTTTCACCAAGTTTCATAAAAAAATGTTTATTTTTGAAAGAGATACGGCTATATGAAAAAATGCGATTTTGAGCGTTTTTTTTTTGGAATAACTAATTAATTTAATTATCGATCAAAACCGGTTTGGGCTTATTTGATCCGAATTAAATATTCCTACAACTTTTGTTTGAAAGTAGTTCATTGAATTATACGGAATTTTTCCTAATTTTTACATATTTTCAATTACTAAACTATTTTTTGGCACCTGAAAAAGTAATTTGGTTGGACTATTAAGAGAGAGCGAGAAAGGATGAGAGAGATATACAAGGTGTAACTAAATAAGTGTAAAACATTTAAGGGGGTGATTCCTCATCGAAAAAAAGATAGGATCTTTCATATAAAGAAACTTCATTGGAGCATCCCTTGTTAAGATACAGCCCCTTAAAGGGGGTACATAAAATTTGTTTAACAATTTTTTTCACAAGCACTAAACAAGTTACAATATTGAAATTAACCTGACATTTTCTACTACCAAAAAGACACTTGGCCAGTAATTTATTTGGTTTACCCCATGGTTGTAAGGGGTGGAAAACGCAACCCCTAAAATTTATTTCCAACGTAATTTTTTGTCTTATTATTTGTTTACCATTTAAAAATTTATTTCCGATAGCCTGTTTCATTCTAAAAAACAAAAATGTCTCTTGAATTGTTTGCCCAAAATAAACCAGTTCGCAGCAAAAAATTATTTTACGAACAACTACAGAGATACATCGTCATAAATGCGAACTGGATTTACTGTTATTTTGTAGTTACTACCTGCATTAAATGATTAAAGGGGAATAATCAAAACTAATTTATTAATAACAAAACATACAACATGTAGAAATCATAGTAAATGTTCAATATGTCTACCTTCAGACATTACGATGAGGAATCACCCCCTTAAATGTTTTACACTTATTTAGTTACACCCTGTATAACTTTAATATTTTTTTGACAAAAATGTTTCTACACGAAAAACTATTTTTCCATATTTTTTGTTACATGAAATTTCCATTAATGATTTCACTAAAATTATAACTACATTGTATTACAATTGACAAAAAAATAAGATTAGAGTTGATTCGGTAATTGACGAGGGCATATTAATATTAAAATCCACATGTTCTTATTTATTTCAGTGCATTTGTAGCAGTAACAGTTTATTCAATATTTATCATATTCATAATATTTAATATTAAATAATCTTGGAATGTGTGAGATCATCTCTTCCGTCTACCGTGGACAGAAGTTTATTGACTGGTTCTTATATTGCCTCTAACATCGACTTATTTCTCGCATGTAACAACAAAACTTAAGGAACGTACCTACGGGATCGTCTTTTTCGTTTGTATAAATTCCTCTGTCGACGAAATGATTGAAGTCTTTTGTCATCACCCGCTTCAGCAATTCCAAGTCTAGCACCATGAATGTAGGTGTAGACATGATATATGTGCCACTGTATTTCCAACCTAAAAGATTAATACAAGGCTGTAACAAAATAGCAATATCAAAGTGAACGGAGTCAATTAATAGGACTACACAAAGTAAGTTCTAAACTTGCGTGGGAATCTTTACAAATGCTGACTGACTGGCTACCGCTAATACAGACATTAGATTGCGTTGAAAGGGATTAGAAAAAGATTTCATTGGTCCGGAGAAATTTAACGCCGAATTTAGTCAACTTTAAACCATCTTAACTTATTTTTTTTTTAATGGAACACCCTGTATATTTTTGCGCAATCTGATAAACAATTTTGTTCTATTTCGAATGGTATAATGGTTCCCTATACCTATCTATTCTGGTTTTTAAAGTATTTACTGTCTTTCGTGCAGTCAACGGATATCGCATAATAGTCGAGGAAATAAAGCACAAAATGAGGCGAAATTCAGTTCATTCAGGCAGATTCGCTAGTGACTAAAGTAGTAGGCCTTTAGATTTGGCAACGTTGCACTTGGCTAGCTTTGTTTGGATGCCTAAGCTTGAAATATGCATCATGTCACACCTGCGAATTTCAAATAATACGCTACATCGAGAACCGTGGCGTTGCCGCTATCACGCATATGGAGGATAAGTTACTCAACGACAGCAATTTGAAGGAGAATTATTATAAATTATGTATCTTTCAAGTACCTAATCGATTTCTACGAGCTGTCATACGATTCCTTAGATATCGGTTTCCTATTTATACAAGTTGCTGTGGAAACTGTTCGTTAATTGTTGCGCATTCTAAGTGGAAAGACCAAAAAAATCTGCATTCTCATAAGATTCTGTACTAAATCGTGAAAAAATATTTTATTAATATCTCGTTTCTTAGGTATCCAAACTAGTTATTTTTTTTTGAGGATTTTCTTCATATTAATAAGCTTATATTAATTTTTTTATGAATATTTGTTCGTCAATTCCAAATCAGATAAACATCCTTAAAACAAGAGATAGGTACAGGGAACCATCATACCATTATACCATTCGAAAGAGAACAACATTGTTCATCAGGTTGCGCAAAAATATACAGGGTGTTCCATTAAAGAAAATAAGTTAAAATGGTTCAAAGTTAACTAAATTCGGCAATAAATTTCTACCACTCCATGAGATTAAGTCATTTTGAAATTATGACAGGGAAGCTTAGAGTTTTATTTATGTCCCCTATAAATTCTATCGCTTTAACTTTATTATTGTAAAATACATATCTTTTTGAATTTTTAATATATTTTTTTTAATTAAATATATAAAAAATGATTAACTTTAAGAATAGGAAACCTTTATGAAAGTTCACCTAAAAATTGACGTAGAATCCAAAAATGCAATAATATACAGGGTGTACCATTTAAAAGAACGAAGATGACATTAACTTCCGGTATAACCGGAAGCGTTAGGTGTACGCCATTATTTTACTTGAGAAGGATATGCCCGAAAACACTATTGCTCAAATTTTTAAAATTAAAATCGGAGTAGTCTCTGTAATATGTCTAATGTCTCGTTACCGTGGGACACCTTGTATATATAAGCTAAGTCTTGTAAGACAGTCCGATCTGCCGAGGATGTAACTCAGTGGATGAAATTTCTCTACACGTGGTAGAATGACGCTTCTGAGAAAACCCTTTTTGGAACCCAAGGAGGTGAGGGGAGCAAGGAAGCTTTTTTGACTTTATTAAAACAACAGAGCTACTTGTTGAATAGCTTTGAACAGTGGGAAACGCAATATGCCTGATAAAGGTGCTATGGGACTTGAACAGAATCTAACCACAATTTTTTTTTAAAGCTTGTCAATAAATCAAAAGCTGCAGGGCCAGTTAATCCTCGGTGTTTCAAAATAACCGCAAAGGATATTACAAGCCACTACTTTCTAATTTTTCAACTTTCTTATCACACAGACCTCTTGCCTTCGCATCGTTGTACATTTGCATTGTAGATTCTCCAGAGGACAATCCGCTTGTCGCCGGACTGGGGAAGTTCCCGAAGGGTATCTTAGGCTCCAAATAGTTCAAGTTCCTCCTTTTCCAATATTGATACGACCACTTGAAGTAGGCGTAGACAATGGCTGCCGCTGTTGCCAGCAGAGCGAACAAATCGGTGAAGAGGTACGTTGTAAAGATGGACATTATTCTGGAAAAGTAAAATTGTTTTTAGCTGGTTCACAGGTCCACAAAAAACAAGTTATTTGAGGAGTGAAGAGAGCATTCTTTCATATTTTCGATCACTGAATCTGAATCTGTGCCCCCTGTTTTGACCATACACGTCAGGATTTTTTGTAATCGTTAGTTTATATGTACAATGTACAGGGTGATTTCATTTTAAATACAGAAACTACAGGCCTAGATTCATTGCCAAAAAATAAGTAGTTTGCTCTATAAACTTTTTTCCTGCGGAACCCGGTATTCGAGACGCAGGGCGTTAAACTTTACAAATAAAAAATTCTGCCATATCTTCATAATGCGCTTACGGAATTGAATGAAATTTTCTACAGCGTATTCACTTAATTAGCCCTTTCATTGAATATAATATTAACCTTGTGACTTTAACCAGTGGCGTGGTACTAGAGGTGCCGCCTTATTTTCCCAATTAAAAAAATACGCCACTGGCGTAATAAATTAATCCGTTTATTTGATAAAAACCTCCTTGTTTTAATAAGTGACGTGCTACTAAAGCGTCCGCCAACTTTTCCCAAGAAAGGAATACGCTACGCGGTTTTTTGTAGAAATAATTTTATTTCCTTCCGCATCAATACACTTTTGACATCTTCTAATCAGGCTATTTATAGAGGAACTTATGATTTTCCTGAGAAGATTACAATTTTCCTCTATTCTTTCCTCCCACAATTTGTCTCTTAATTAATAAGCCCAAAACAAGATCATCGTAAAGCTTACTAGCTTGATAATGCAGACAAAAGATTCAATTTTTGCAAAAACACCAAGAAACACTCATTCATTTAACGCAACAGTACCTGTATGTAACATTATTTCGGTTTTTTTTTTTCGGGAAAACAAAGCGACACCTTCAGTAGCAGCCACTGGTTAATGCCACGAGGCTACTATTACATTCAATAAAAGGACTAATTAAGTGAATACGCTGTAGTAAGTTTCATCCAAATCGTTCAGCGCAATATGAAGATATGACAGAAAATATGTATCTTTTTGGAAAGTTGAACACCTTGTATCTCGAATACCAAATGGGCAAATATGTGCAGAATTTTATGACGACTATGGATTCGTTTTTAAATTTAGAAAATTCCGAATAATTCCAAAGATATTCGAAGAAAACCGATTTTGTTATTTCTTTTTTTAGTCATATTTCAATTGTTTTTCAAAATTTTAGGACAAAAATTTGTAGTCTGATATAAACTGATGTGAGGAATGGATTTTTGCTATCAGTAGTAACGTATCTCTAAAATGTGTGATGAGTGATAGTTAACTTTTGTTTTTGTTATGGATGCCATATTGAATTTTTGCCTCATTAGAAGAAACGGGAAATTATCTTTACTACGTTGGGGTTTTCATAAATAAATAACCAAGATATTGAATATAATTATAAAATGTGACAAAGTAATTTCAAGAACATGTAGACAATCTGCTGCTTTTTCCATAAATAACAAACAAATTAAAATAATCCTCATATATTTAAACGATCCCGTCATTTTTATGTGGTCATGGCCAATTTGATAACAGGTCTGATACGAGAAAAAGTGTTCAAAAAATAGAAAATTGTGAATATCTCGAAAAGTAGTAACTGCAACCCTAACAATGATTATATGGCTTGAAAGGAAATTCCAATCTGCATACGACAGAGTAAAAAAATACAGGGTGTTCTCTTTAGGTTAACAAAGTTATAGCAGTTTGAAGTTATCAAAATGTAACGGCAAAAATGAAACACCTAGTATTTAATGTTTTAATTTGTTGGTATACCACAATGTAGTATTACCTATGCCCTTTACTGGTACTAAAAATCGGCGGACCCTTGCATCTGTCAATTTTTTTCTTTAAAAATTAATATCTCAAATGCTGTAACTCCTAGGTATAGGAAATATTTAATAAAGTGACTCTCAAATTTCACGTAAAATCCAAAAATGCGATAATATATAAGGTGTCCCATTGAAAATAACAAAGTTGACGTTAACTTCCGGTATAACCGGAATTGTAACAGGAACAAAATTATTATATTTGAAAAGTGCACACCCAAAAACGCTAGGGTACCAATTTTCAAGATTGAAATCGAAGTAGGTTCTAAAATAATCTAATAGGACAGTCACTGTGAACCAGCCGGTATCAAAATTATAATAATAAGTGTAACTAGAATTGTTCCCATATGATAGAATTTGCCAGTAATTCTTTACAGAAAAGGATAATTATTTATTATACAGGGTGTTTCTAAAATAGGGTTCCAAACTTCTGCTGCGTTTATAACTCATTAAAATAAGCCAAAAAGTTCCTATTAACATGTGCCCTAAAACGCACCCTTATATATGCCTTATATATGCCCTTAAAACGGCTCAAACAAAACTGTTTTTTTTCTACTTAAATTTTCCACTCACCACTTTTTCTAATTAAACACTGCAAAGCTCAATTGACAGTTTATCAATAACTTAAATTGTGAAGCGTTGTGGCAACGTCAGTCCTTTATTTGCCGTGGTAAACAGATTTTCGTAATTTTTGGCCTAATAACTTAAAGAGTAATTTTCAAACTCAATTTACTCGAAAACCATTGGAAATATCGATTTGGACAAAGATAATATTTTTTACGTAAAATTGTTAAGATTTTATAAATCTGTAGAGAAAACCCTCTTCACCAACCTAAATGGGACGCATATGATTTGCATGTCGAAAAACGGAGTAGCCCATGTTATTTGACGTAAAAAGTTATGTAAGACCCATAATTTTTTTTTATTTATTTATTTGCGACCGTTTTGTCAATAACAGAAAAAAACCAGTTTTGTTTGAACCCTTTTAAGGGCATATAACTTCCTAAGGGTGCGTTTTGGGGCACATGTTAATAGGAACTTTTTGGCTTATTTTAATGAGTTATAAACGCAGCAGAAGTTTGGAACCCTATTTTAGAAACACCCTGTAGAGCAAAACTTTAAAAGCAGTGCAAATTTTTGTCCTATTTTCAGGAGTACTACTAACACGAATCTCAATTTGATTTTTGTGCGGTCAAACCCGGGTTTTGAGAAATTATTTTTCAAAATTCTAACTCTTCAATACTATTTACAACACTTCTCTTTTAATGGATCGTAATGGAGTTCTAATAATTTAACTTTAATCTGAAATCACTTTTTTAATCAAATACCTACATAATCGAGTCGATTAGTGTTTTTTTAACTGCAGTTTTACAAGATAGTAAATAATTATTTGGAAAAGCTTATTAGTTGACCCTGTGCCGGGGGTTGCTTTTTATTTTTTTGGGGGGAAAACTACCCCTATTCGAAAATAATTATAGAATTGTAGATTCGAATGTGTAATAGGTTGAAATCATCTTTAAATATTCAATCCCTAAAAATTGTCAATCCTTAAAAACCACCCCCTATGACAGTAATCATTAAAANGTCTATAGTCTAATTTTTTTTGAACACATGATACTTTTGATCCTGCAGCATAATTTTTCCAAACAGCACCGATTTGCACCAAAATTTGGATTTAGGTTCTACTTACCCTCTACTTCAAAGTTCAAAGACCCTGTGCCGGGGGTTGCTTTTTATTTTTTAGGGGTGAAAACTACCCCTAATCGAAAATAATTGTAGAATTGTAGATTCGGGCGTGTAATAGGTTGAAATCATCTTTAAATAAGTAATTATGATGAATTGAAAATTGTCAATCCCTAAAAACCACCCCCTATGACAGGAACCTGGAATAATTTAATCATATAATATTAAATTAAGATTTCTTTGTTTGTTCTGTTTTAATTTTTTATTATTTATTTATAAATTTCAACCTTATAAAAACCATCCCTTGCAAAAAAATAATAAATAGTAATAAATACGTTTGTGCCTAAAATATAGCTATAATGTGTATTCATCAATGCTTCAATATACGTATTATGATGATATTTGCAAAAATATGTGATTGGTTTTTTACCCATAACTCGCTTAGTTTATACGCTATCAACCCGTTCAAAAAACCATTTTGTAGGTTTTTTTTCAAGGGCTATAAGATCAAATAAGTTAAATTTTCTTTAAGCCCTTATTTTTGCAAGGGATTGAGCTGAAAGGGCTTGAACAAGTTGCTATTTACAAACATATGCAAACTTTAAACGGCCATATTTTACGTAATTTTTATTCTGCAGAAAAAAAAACAAAATTTTCAAAAAAGCAAGACCTACAATTTTGTAGTCTACAAAATTTTGCGCATCATTAATAGTTTTTGAGTTATTTTGAAGAAAAGACAATTTTTTCCAAAAATACAAAAGTTCCCTTTTCACTTAAAACTCAACTTTTTTCAAAACTAAGCACTTTAAACCGGTCAAACTTATAGAGCATATCACAAGTACATAAATAAAGTAAATTGTAAAGTGGTAACGATTATTTTCAATTGGGGTGGTAATTAGGGGGTGATTTTCACGTTTTTTGTCGCCGAAAAAAATACGGACCAACTTTATTTTCGTCATAACTCCCTTAGGTTTGATGCTAGGGACTTTTATAAAAAATAAAAATAAATGTTTTTTCACACACTTTAAAAAAGGTTGAGTATTCCCTGAAAAATGCATTGGTTTTTAGTTATTTCATGTTCAAACTTTCAATTTTGGCGTTTGACGAATAAGACCCAACCTTCAACAAGCTATTACTCCGCTTGTCTTGGGTTTACAGACACCATAAATATACACTTTTTGTTTTTTTATAACCTACATTTTTATAAGAATAATTTTTTGATAAAATACTTACTTTTTGAGTTATTCGCGAAAACCCGTCTGAAAAAGAGGTTGTTTTGGTTAAAAAATTTACACTTTTACTCGTGAATAAGTCGAAAGTATTGACTTTCAAAAAAAACTATAAAACAAAAGTTGCTTAGAATTAGTCAATATATCCATTCCCGGAGTTATTTTCAATGAAATATTTTTCACCCCCGAGAAAGGGTGGCATCCACCCCAGGGTAAAAGCAACCCCCGGTACAAGGTCAACTTTGAAGTAGAGGGTAAGTAGAACTTAAATCCAAGTTTTTATGAAAATCGGTGCCGTTTGGCAAAATTATACGGGAAAATGGTCATTGACTGTACTATATTAATTGGTTATAGCTTTAACAAATTAATGTTTTGACTTTAATTAGTATTTCTCCCTAGCACCACTCTATTCTGCCCCACTTACACCCATTTGCATGCCATCATATTACACATGTCTACCTCAGATCTACTTGAAAAACCAATCGGGGGAAATTTAAAAGCATTTTTGTACTCACTCTGTTGTCCGTCACTGACTACAATGAGGTTACAAATAAGGTCACCAAATAAACCTAACCTTCACAAGATACACTGCCAAATATTGTTATCATTTCGCAAAGTGATCGCGATTTTATACTAATAAAATCTACAAACACTTGTATATAAATTGTAATCTCGATAAAAATAAAGAAACGTCAATTTCGCAATGTTGCAATGCTTTACGCAGTTATGTAGACAGGTTTTCTCTACGTCTGGCATTAATCATTGATAACTGTTGAATAAATTAGCTCCCACCTCTGCAGATACTGCGTTATTGTTATTACTTAACCGATTATACTCAATTATGAAATACAAGACGTTAGGAAGAGTGTGAAGAGTTTCAAAAGCAAAGAGTACTCAAGAAATATGTACCGGGTAGTCCTTAGTTGGTCTAAAGGTATGTTATATCATATCAGTTTTTTTCTAATTGTTTTTGTTGTTGCTTGTTTTCTATATTTTGAGTGGCATACCGCAGGGGTCTATTTTGGGTCATTTACTTTTTGTTATTTACACAGCCGATATTCCTGGGGTAATACGGAGTAATATACTTTAATACGCAGATGATTGTCAAGTGTATTTATCGTTCTGTCCTGAAGATGTTGAATTATCCATAAATCCGATTAACGAAGATTTGAAAAACATATATGCTTGGTCTATCAGGAACGTGCTAAATTTAAATCCAGATAAAACAAATGTTTTACTCGTTGGAACCGATGGCCAGACAAATAAAGTAGATTTACACAACCAGTTATTTTTAAACAATATATCTCTGCCAATAAAGAATTCATGTAAAAGTATTGGGGTCACAATAGATAAAAACTTATCTTTTAAATGTCATGTTAATAATTTAATTAAGGCTGCTTATACCAGGCTGAAATCTTTGTATAAATTCAAATACATTTTAAGTACAAAAGTTAAATTGAAAATAACGGAGTCTCTAATACTGTCTATGTTTGGTTACTGTGAAGTTGTATATGGTCCCTGTTTGTCAGCGCACGATGCACATCGCATTCAGGTATTGCAAAATACTTGTATGAGATTTTCTACTAATCTAAATAGGAGAGACCATGTTACTCCCAGTTATTTTGAAAATGGTTGGTTGAAGATGAACATTAGGAGAGATATCCATTTTGCATGTTTTGTACAAAATATCATGATTAGAAATACTCCAGTGTATTTGAAAAATAAGTTAATTTTTGCGGCAGATGTTTATGACAGGTCCAGAAGAAATCCTCTTCTTCTGCATGTACCGAGACACTCCACCT